TTTCAAGCTTTCTAAGTTCTGATATACATTAGAATTCTACTTTTCCTCATTATTTTGATAATATAAAGCATATTCGGTGTTCTCGTAATGTGTCAACATCAAAATGTCTTGCTTTGTTATGAAGATCGTGATGTGTGATGCTTTGGCATAATATTAAGCTAACGCTCGCAGTTGGTTTATCATTTAAAAATTTGTAGACTCGGTGTTAAACTGCGATGTGGCTTCGACAAGTCTATCCACTGTCTCAGCATAAAACGAAGGATGGCAGCAGTGGTATGATGACAGAGATAGTTTGTATCATTACTTTACCAAGAATTTTCTTAGAAATTGCATGTTTTTTATGTGAAAGTTTCGACTAGAAAACTAGAGCGAAAGTCACCTAATGAAATTTTTTTTTGGCATTATAGAAACACCATTTACTTCTTGCGACTGTATTTCTCTACAACTCGAGCAAAAACGGAATTAGACAGCCCACAAATTTTGAAAACTTTGATAGTACAAAACATATTTCAAAAGAGGTTAAGAGGAAGTCGCATAGATCTATGGCAATCTTTGATCAAGCTTATCTCGCGATAATGTTGATGTCCCCAAAGAATCAGATGCTGGAATCACGCATCCTGAATCGTTTATTTTTAAATTGAAGCATGAAAAGTTCTCTTTCTAAACCTAAAAAGTGTGGTAGTGTAGAAGTATCTATTTCTTCTCACATTGAAAAACTTTTCAGACACCATACCAGGAAAAGCATATCATTTTTCCGTGAGTGAATCCACGCGACACGCTTATTACGTCGGCTTCGAAAAATATGTAAATGGCGGGCAACTCAACACATTGCGAGTCATAGATACCTGGAAGGGAACTATCACGTAAGTCCTACAAAAGTCTAAAGTAACAAGTCATTCCTAGATAGACTTTTCAGGACATACTCACTTCCAGCGGAGTTATCTTCAATCTGCATGCTCTACGAGGCAATTAATGGTTTAGCCTTAGTTGGCGTTGGAAACGATAGCGGCATATCAGTAAGTGAAAGAAGGTTTATTAAAGAGTTGCGCTCACTTTACTTGCGTAGAAGAATCGCAAATGATGAAAACATGAATTTTTCAGTAAGAGTCATGAAGAATATATCCTACGGGTGTATGTCGAGTGGCGCGATTTTGGCTGTCACTAAGGGCACATCCGCAGCGGGCCTTATATTATGTGGAGTTTTCAAATTGTAATCTGTATTACCTTCCATAATAAAGGACGTACAAGGTGTCTACTTTGATTCA